AACACACAAAAGAATCCAAGTTGCACAACACATTTTCACAATGAGCAGAGGGTTATACAAATCAAATCCCATGTCCCCCTCTGACTGATTAAAAAATAAAAGGTAAAACATCAATTTAGAGAAAACATAAAATTCAATTACTGAATTAACACTTTATATTCAATTTTAATAGCTAATAATGATTATACTAGAGTGCACGCACTAAACCCATGAATAATACTTAGTACTAATAGTTAGTAATAATTACTAATTATTAGCAGAAATTCATAGAGAATCCTTTGTTTCCTATTGTTTGATTATCGTGATTTAGTGCAAGCACTCTACTAGCCTCTGAATGATTGTAAATATTTTTAATAATATTATAATGAAATCCTTTTTGGATGTTAAACTTAAAACCAAGAAGTGTGCAAAACATTTATAACAATTTTTTATATTGAGTACCAACTATTCCAAAACTTTTGGTACTAAAAAAGATTTCAATAATTCTTATGTGCTATTTGAAAAAAACTGCTGCAGCAGTGGCATCATTATGTCTTTCACAGACTATTAAATTTAAAAGCAAGCTCATGTACATTTAATATTTATATTATTTAAGTTTATTATTTATTAGTATCGCCATACTAAAAAAAAGTTATGAGTTACAACATTTGGCCTCACAGCTTTGGATTGGATGATTCAGTGTTGTATCATAACTTTGTGATGGAGACCTCTCTCTACCAAAGTTCAATTGCTGTGAATTTCTCATGGATGATTCTGTAACATCTCTGTCTCATTGACGATTCTGTAACATCTCTGTTTTAGGATATAAGGTTGTTAGCCCTATACCAACCTCCCAAAAGAGCAGCAGCTGGTAGAAATTTAATTAGATAAGCTTTTGGATTTTTTAATAAAAAAGGAATATGCTACTGTCAAGCCATTACATACCAGTTGTACTGCATTAACTGAAAAGAATAGGTACTTGCAGAGGGAGCCCAGCAACTGGTAAAAACAGTGTTTAAAAAAATCTATCGTGCCTTTAAAAGAAAATAATATTCAAGGATGGATCAACTTGGAGTACAATTTTATGCCAAGACAAGCCCATATACAAATAAGGGAAATGTCTGCATGTGATCAAACATCAATTTGTCAGTCCTGCGCATAATTGTGCTGGAATGCAATATAATTTTCTATAGGCATGCACTCCCCACCCCCCTTCCCCTGCCCCGCCTATTGACAACCTTTAAAACTCCAATGTATGCGGGCTTAGCCTCGTATGCAGGAGTTGATTGTTTTGTTATTCTAATGTCTGCTTTTGTTTACCAAGTTTTAAGAGTCATCAATTTCCAAAAATGAGATACCCACATACAAACAGCTTTTTGTTTCCTGCCTGATGATTGTTGCCTTAACCATACACTTTTTCTCTAGTCCTATAGCTTTCCTACCCCACTCCACCCCACCCATTGTCCATGCAGTCCATCTTGACTCGTTACTTTAGCTGGAGAGACTAGCTTACCTATCTTCACTTAGCTGCAATCTCGTGCCCAGAGACTTTATTTCTTACTGCGCATGCCGGACTTCAAGTATAAGTGCGCATGGTTTCAAAGCCTTGCCAAAAATAAAAACATGTTTTCGATTCCTAATTTTTATTTTGATCGGAAGTAAACCCATAACTCTGTTTTAAAGCATGATTTTCACTGATTATATTTCACTTTAAGAAAATTGCGCAAGCGCCAAAAAATGGATTATGCTAGGACCTCGTTCTTCGCCGCAGGCCACGCTACTGTTTTACAATAGTGTATGTCCCAAGGGTATTGAGGCCGCTCGGCAGCCTGAAACAGAATTAAAACCTCCGCAAAAATAAATTCAGTCTTGAAAACTCATACTCTAAAGACGGTCAGCTCATGTTTTGTATAAACTAAGTATTTATCGTAGGTTACTGAAGCTGTCAACTTTTAGAAAAATATGTATTTACATGCATATTCGAAAGGTACTTTTCGTGCTCCAGTGAACGTTTTAATAGGCTAACGTCACTACTTTGACGTCAAGAGAAGGCGTGCTTATTTACCCAGAATACATTAGTCTCGATTATGTAGAATGTAAATCTTGCCGTTTGGACACCAGTTGGACGATATAATCTGCGTAGCGCTTCAAATGTATTCATTTGCTCTTTCCTGATCTAAGCTTTAGAATGTGCCCAACACAGCGAGTATCTTCAGATTGGTTGGAATTTTCTATTATTTCAAACCAATTTACGTTGAATTGAATCTGTACTGGAGAATCAACAGTAGCTTTTTGTAGGAATTACCGAACCGAGGCACAGAAACACGGGTCCAAAGTACAAAGTAAACAAAGCGAAGGCCTAAAAAACATTTTATTTTGAAGGAAATTTTCAGTTAAGGTAGGAAAAAATTATYAATCTGTTGTGTTTTACCTAATTTTGTATGTTTGGTCATGCAATAAATAACATTGGCTTGGGTTTTCTCTCTCTCTCGAATATTAATTAGTTGTTGTTTTCTTGTTGTTTTCCTTTACGCATAGTGTCACAAGCCATTAATAAAGGCGCTACTAGCATTACCATGGCTTCTGTTCCAATTGAAAGTCAACTGTACTCGCGATATTTATCAAAGCAGAGGAAAACTCAGACTGAAGAAAAAGAAGGCGGCATTGCCGTAGTTTCAACATCGGAGGTGTTCGACAGACCAACAAAGAATTATTTGTTTTCGACTTTAGCGTTGCCTCGTGCCCGACTTCTGCACCTTTTTAACGTGAGTTCCTGCAGCTCTGAAAAAATGACAACCGACCTGAATTTCAACATCAAGGGGCCGCGTTGAATTTAGCTGGGGTAAGACTTTTGTTTCTTCGTGTAATACTAGTAGCTTGGTTTGCATCTGTTCTATTGTTCATTTAATCCCTCATGAGGTGTCGCAATTAAGTACGTATGAACATTAAAACATTTTTTTTAAAGCGATCTTACTAGTTTTAACCCAATGTTGTGGTTGAGCAGTATCTAGGCTTCGATTTTGGCTGTTTTATTGACGGCGTGCTGCCAATCATGAGATGTTTAACTCCCACCAACATTGGACAATGCACGAATCACCCGCATGCTTCACCTTGACACAACGTGTATTAAGGGATCAAGCTATGCACCTACACTTAGGATTAATTCATATTTGGTCAAAAAAAAGAAAAGAAAAACAGCATGAGAGTAATGAAGATAGTGAACATGAATACGTTAGTAATTTATAATATTCATTTGTTATATTTTTTGTTTCTTACTAGGTCGGAAAAAAGATCAAAGGAAAAAATGAATCCGATGTTTGAAAGGTAATCCGGCTTTCGTGCAACATAGAAAACCATTTCACTGTTCTATATAGTCACTGAAAATAGGAAAAATCAGCTGGAGAATTTATGGGAAATTGATACTTGTCCCAATGGTTTAGTTTGAACGCACAATATCTAAATCCCATAGTCTCTGTTGAATTTTTCATGAATAAAATCTAGGTAGATGATGAAACAGTCTAGTGTAAAAGTTAATCTTGTATAAGAAACTGGTGTACAACAGTATGTAGCAGTGGAGTTTAACTAGTAAATTAGATCCGTTTTGAATGGCGTGTGTGGAATCGTACAATTCTTACAACATTGTAGGAAAACATTAAATTTGCCTATGGAATGTCATATTTGGCAACACCTTGATTAAAATCCTACTTTGTTGCAAAGATGAATACACATACCATTTAGAATGACTATAACGTGGAAAGCCAGATGCACCTTTTGAGTATCCAACAAAAGGATGGTAGAAAGACTGGAATTACTGCTTTTTTCATAAACGTGAACTCTGTAGCTACCACCTCTTTCTCTTTTACTCCGTGAAGGACTAGCGTCCGAAACGTCAAAGTTTTTTCATCTTTTCATGGTGTATAATTTACCCTTTTATCATCAACTCTGTAGCTGTCTACTGCATACTAAAATTAGATCTCTGCCGCCATCCAAAARTATGAAAGGTACCAATTGATTAGTTTTGACTGATGGCAGTAAAAAAAATAAAATTCAGCATGCAGCTTGCAACTACCAAGTTCGCATGTTTATGAAAAAGCAGTAAATGTTCAGTGATCTTATTGCTGCAAACATTAGTCAAGGGTAAGTTTTGCAGTGCAGTTGATATAATAATGGTTTTTGCTTGAGCTTAATATATAATGTATGCTTGATACTTTTAATCATATAATGGTAGTTGAAATATACATGTAATTAATTGTAGTTTTCAAAATTTGTAATGGCTTGGTGACACTTTATAGATTGTAAATATGATTTCAGATATTTTATGGGCACTTTTGCAAGTGCAAAATGATTCCTCGTATTCAACAGAATTATAGTTTGAGTGGAGAGTACTAGGGAATGTTTCTAGTAAATGTCATGTTAGTAAGTTTGATTGATGAAAAAGTGGGCTCAACAGACTATATTTTTAAAGAATCTTGTTTTGGAATCGTCTAATGCTTTCACTTTCACTTTCACTTTGAAATCATCTAATGCATTCATGTTTGCTTTCATTTTTAAAAGCTTCTCTCATGTTTCTGCAGCCTCAGAAACTTTAAGATTGGTTTCTTTTTACAATTTAACAAACCATGTAAATTTAATGACTGGAAGATTTATACCAAAACATAAGRAAATGTGCCACACAAGGAGTCGTCTGGCTCACAGAACCTGCATGTAAAGCAAAAAAGAGTTTGTCCAAAAAGAAGTGAAGCCAATATGTTTGACATAATTATTTTGTAAAAAGGGCTAATATATACAAAACTGTTGCTAACTATGATTATTGTGCAGCTAAAGTGGGGAAAAAGAAGAGAAAGATGATCATAGTAACCACTTTGAATGGATAATATTTAGTGGTCAGACAATGTAAACAAAACGAATGATGCAATCTTCATGTTTGCCGGCCTAAAATGAAAGTGCAAGTTTTCAAAAAATAGTGTGTGTTCTGAGAAAACAGTTTGTTTGTTTAGTGTCTAGCCACCAAAAATAAGACAGCTTGCTACCCTTTGAGGAAAGGTTTTTTCTTTCTCTTTATACACCAAATTTGGCAACCAATTTGAATAATAATTATTGTTCGTAACTGAAAAGCCTGGTGTTAAGGTGGAAAAATATAAGCAGTCACATATATGAGAGGCTAGTCAGTCCAGAACAATAGTTGCCAGAAAAATTGGTTGCCATATTTCAATAATAAATTGAGTGTAGATGCTAAGCAGTGGACCTAATGCTAAAATAGGGGCACAAGAAACCTTGCAAACAGGGTACCATTTTTGCTGGCTGGCCTTGCCAAAACAACTGATTTGCAAGTGATTGTAATTTGGGAGTGGCAGTCAAAGGTTTGATCCTAAGATTCTGCAAGAAAGAGCTAAGAGTTATATACTTTTTTTACATGTCGCTCTTTGTATTACAGAATGGGGACCAGCTGGGCTGGCAAATCTTGATTGCTTGTTTGATAAAAAATAATAATTTATTGTGTTCCTGTGATCTTGACAACATAGTACAGATTTAATTTTTTTAAATTTTTTGGCTTCCATCCCTCTAACTAACGACGGACTGAAACCAAAATTGTTTGAAGATAGAAGCCAAGAGAAAACTTAACAACTGAAAGTYGTCACGTTTACAGAAACATTGGAAGCATAATTATAATATTTTCCTTCTTGAAACAATGGGTTTGTTAGCAGGAATCATAGCCATGCCTTAATAGTACATTGATGAAGATATTCTTATTGATTGTATATCATAGAGATTGCAATAAATCTGTGAAAGAATTATGGCCATTGATTAAGAAATGCAGCCAACACAATTTTGGAATCAAAAACAGCAGCATGTAGCCTGTATTGCAAGAGAAACAAGATTGTCAACACTCATCACAAAAAGAAAAAAATGCAAAAAAGTTTAAATATTTGAACTTTTCCTCAGACATTTAAAAATTTTATTATCAGTGGGCATGACAGATACTACAGTCATTTGTTTCAGAGAAAGATCAGAGTACTTATCTCAGGAACCTTTGCTACCCACACAGTTTAATTAAGGAAAGACATTTTTTTCTTTCACAGGCTCATTGCAATTTCTTTTTTCATGAAGCATGCAACCTTTTATGACAGGCTTTTAGACTGAGCTTGTATAAATTGTAATATAGTTTTAATGATTAATTTATTGGAGTGTTGTATTATAGATGAAATACAGAGTGTATACAAGGTGTTGGGTGTTATATTAAATAAACTGATTTTTCAGAAGCAAAAAAAAAAAAAAAAAATTTTATAATTCACGTTACTGAATACATCAAAATAACTATGGCTAGCTACCCCTGGAGGATGATATTGATCAACCCAAACCATCCTGCAGTTTACCCCTTCTTATGGCCATTCAACTAGCATCCCATCCAGGTTGAGTAGCAATACYCCTATATTCGCTTCATGCTACAGAAGCCAAGAGTGACTTTACCTTCAGTTTTATGGCAATTCAACACTATACAGTTAATTAGTCATTTAGAACTGTTAATAGTGTTTGAAGATTTTGCAAAAAGTGACATCTATAATAGTGTGTTACATATGCAGGGACAACTATTTCTTTCGGGAGGGGGAGAATTGGGTGAGAAAAAGGAGCACCAAAATATGAGACCAAATTGGAAAAAAGCTGTTAAAAAAATCATCATTCTATGATTAACATCAGTGATTTACTCACTTTATCGTTGGCAAAATCTCTTAAACATTTTTTCTCGGTTTGTGTTGAACCCGTTCTTTGATTTTTATTTCTCCGGAGATTTTCTTTAAAAGAACGTCGCCAGAACTCCATTACTAAAACTGTCATGCGCTTTTTTCCAATATCAAGGTCTTAAGAAATGCTGTCTTGGGATTTTACTTTCTTTCGTTTTGTCTTGAATTTAAAGAAGAATTGTTAGCAAAATGACAAGCAGCTAGGCCCTTTTCTACCTGAATTAGCTTGAATTTGCTTTGAAAATGGATGAAAGAGCTATTCTATATTTGGCTAGACTTACAGGTGTCTTGCTAGAAAGGTTTTTATTGCTGTCTCGTTACATTTTGAGAGAGAAAACTCCAGTTTTCTTTAACAATCAGAATAGTTTTCGTTTGTGAATCACTGGAAGTACTTTGCTACCTAAGATTGGTCACGTGTCAGACTCTTAGTTGCGGTTGGGTGATGGGCTTCCTGTTGTGTTATGTGTCTCATCCGATACGTTTTAGGCATTTTATTTGGGTGGTTAAAACTCGCTACTTGTGCACTAAAATAAAAGTTCGGCCATTTAATTTTTCCGATTTTATTTTCACCATTCACTTTAATCTAAATTGGGTTCCCTGTGGTCCGGCTGCACCTCCCCATCACAAGCCGCAAGGCCGTTTTTTTGGTGAATATTTGTGACAGCATGTTCCCAGTATCACTATGGTTACTACCACAAATTCTAGTATCGTGTCAATTGGATTAACACTTCGATACAAAGCAGCGTAATATGATCAAATAGCAGTGCTGTTATTCTCTTTACCTCTTCGCATTTTGTTCTAACTATGAAATGTTTTATAACTACGATTAGAGATTAGAAATTTAAAATGTAGCCTCTCACAGAATTACGGGCGAGCCACCTGAGCAATTCCGTTGCTTTCGGGCGAGCCGCCTGAGAAAGCAAGGAGAGAGGGTTCTATTTTCTAGCTATATATCAAAAATTTATTACAGAAATATAACTAATTTGCGCGGGAACATATGCAGCAACAATGCAGCATTCATTGTCAAATTTAAAGAACATCTTATCATAAAAGCTAAGGCTATATATTCAAAATTGGCATGCACGAGTGTGAAGAATCTTCTATAGCTATAGTTTTGACGTATTCGACAGAAAGAGCATCTCTAAATAGGACGTAATCGAATTTGTTGCCAGACTTCAGTTTTCGCGCCATTTTATATTATTAGACGTTTGGCCTAGAATACGATCATATATCATCAACTATACTCTAAATTCCTGGATCAATACCATCAAACACTAAGTAAAGGTTCTTCTTGAAACATTTCTGAACCATAATCTACCTGGAATTTTCTGCTAGATCGAAAATGTGAGCTTTGAGCCGAGAATCATGTTGTACATTACCAAACGCTGACCATTCGACGGCATATTTCGAACAACATAGATCAATTTCATGATCAAAATAGCATCGTGTAGATTCCATTAGCTGTCCAGTATATTTACTAACGATCTACAGCGATCGAATTCATTAAAATCGGCTGTTAACCATGGAGGTACCGGCAGAGGATAGCAGAGCAACATAATCATTCTAATACAATCTTAAAGTAAACACTGCTTCGGTCTAAGGTGGATACCCTGCTGTGGCACAAACACCTCGCCCACCACAAGTATGCGGATTTCAATTCCGCTTATCGCCAAAAAAAACGGGCTTGCGGCTTGTTCCTGGTTGTGACTATGACCATATTTTTAATAGTCATCTAAAACATACGGTCATAGTAGTACAACCAGTGCGCACGTGTCTCAGCTACTCCCACTCGGTTTTGCCTATTGTCGGCAGAGCCAATAGGTAGTAAACAGATGCAATGTATATTTAAACTGAAAATACAACGAATTACAACTAATCGATAGATAGATAGTACATGGTGGTTTTGGGGTTACAAATTCAAATATGTATTGAAGAAATCTTCAGAGGAAATTTTGGAGCACTTTTGATGTTCTAAACGTTGGAAAACAGCTGAGCAGGTATGCGGCTTACATTGACAACGTTTAATTTTAGATGACAGTTTTTTTGACCGGTTAATTAACCCCCAAAACGAAAAGCATTATGGGGATGTGAAAATGGCGATACGTTTAGAATTCCCTTTTAAAAGCAAAAGAACGTTTTCGACGCAAGTGTTCTTTTTTGAGTTAAATTTAGACATTRCCATCCGCTTGCACGTGTTTCCCATACTCCTTAGTGAACATATGATCATTGACATTTGCGGCCTTGTTCATATGTTATCCTTTACCGAGGTATCCATGGACTCGTACATATTGAATGCATTTAATTGTTCTTCCATTTGGTTTCTTATATCATTTGATGGAAAATTACGATTGTCCAGAGGTACAAATAGATCAGTCGTTACGAATGTGAATCTTTTTTTTCCTTTTTTCGTTTCTTTATTTCTTCCTTACGTTGACAGTGGCGGTGAAAGAGTTAATTGCAAGAATGACGAATGACATGAAAATGTTTGAAGAAAGAAGTTGATAAATGGATTAAACTGCACGAATACGTTGCTTTTGAAGTCCACAAATTGTTACATTGTAACAATAAACACAAAAAATTCCAAATTCCACAACACTGACAATCCCACCCCGAACTTAAAAATAGTTCAGTACTCCCATAAAGAAAGACCAATAAATACATTTCGTAAGATTCAGTTTATTTTTGAAAAAGCGTACGTTTTAACTTACATTTATCACAGGGTGATAATTCCCACTTACTGAAAATAATTTTGAGAGGTTTAGTACGTTACAAATGAAACATTTCATACATAATATTCAGAATTAAAACCTCTAGCTTCTGAATGCAACTAGACGCTATTTATAATTATTTCGCATCTTTATTTAGTGAAAAAATCACTGACTTCTTTTTTTTTTTTTTTTGTACAAGTAACAGATATAAGCAATAATTAAAAATATATAGTTATCAAACATCACCTCTAAAACTTGAGCAATTTACACTAGAGGATCATAAACAAAACTATACATACATAAGTTGATATTTTGATGTTATTATAAGTCACTTATTTGTACAAATATACAGAATTTGCTGCTTTACGACAAGCTATACTAGACTTGTGTTTGTCCGACTATTTGCTTGCATCTTCTTCGTCTTCTTTTTATTTTCAATTTTTCATAAATATTGATGTTTAACTATCTTCTAGAATCCCCCTTCCATTGTTTTTACTTTTTATACTAATTTTGGAATTTCGTCCTATCATCTAGATGTTCTTTTCAAAAAATAATATCCGACTTTGTCACATGATCTCATCCTCATTTTTCTTTTGTGACCATATTAGTTGTACACGTTTACTGGCAGTACGATCTCTATTCCACCTATTGATCATTATTCTTTTCCTCATATTTTATGTGGTTTCTTCGTGTTTGTAATTTTCCTTTTTTGCATAAAATCTTTTGTTTATTTCAGTGCTGCCATGCATTTTCAGATAATAAATCTGTAGTTCATGCATCATTAGAAATATAAATGCTGTAGAAGATTTCTTGTGGTACAATGAAACCATTGCCATCCCTGGTGGTTGTTTCTGCAGTCCATCACATTCCATTTTGTCATTTAGCTGTAGTAAATACTGTTCTTTTCTTGCAGGAAGAATGCTTGGAAACATGTTGTACAGCTGCTAGAATTGTTATCTGCATGAGAGGTGAAAATTCTAAGAAAGCCTAAAAATGTCTTATTTYGTGCACGGAAAAAGCCAAAATTTGAAAGAGTGCAAGACTGTGCTTCTCACGATTTTGTAGCAAAATTGGAGACTGTCAGCTCCAAAAGTCAGTGTTTCCAACGGCAGCTACTACAACGTCAAAGTTGCCAAAATGTTTGGCTTACAGAAGTTGGATCAGTCATTAATTCAACCAACCAAAAGCTATAGAAGTTGCTCTTTCACCGCTGGAGTTTGGAGCTAGTAGAAGACTTTCATTGTGCAACAATATAATGACAAGCAAAGTCCAATTTGTGAATTGAATTGAATTTGATAAATGTACTATGTCCTAAGTTATAGTACTCAATTTACCTCTGAGGTGTCAACGAATCTTTGGATCCCTGACTTTGTCTGAAGACTTTAGTGCTATTTGCTTTTATTCTCTATTTTCCCATTAACTGTGGTGCTTTTTGCTTTGAGGAGTAAGTTGACAACATTACATGTAATGTATATAAAAATAGCAAAACTGATAATGGAAAAATGGTTTAAAATCAGAAAATATTACTTAAATATGTTCCATTCCCTTAAGGGGAAAAGAAAATCATTGTATATATATATATATATATATATATTCAGTCTAATTATTAGTTTGTTTACTAACAATAAAACCATGAAATCTTTTGCATTTAGAAATCCAAAGTTTGCAAAACCTATCTAAAGGAGCACAGCTGATTGTTCTTTAATAATGTCTGTGATAATTTTTCTTTTTTACTCTTGTTGATCAAATTTAATTTCGTAAAATTCATCTTTTAGAATTTGTAAAATTTTTGCTACAAAATTGCCAAAATTCTATATTTATTTTTATTTCCCACTATGCAGAAAAACTTGTCTTATCAGCCTAGGTAAAAGTATTAACAATTTTCTCTTCTACCTACTCCTCAAAGCATAAAGCATTATAGGTAAAGGGAAAGCAGAGAATTTTCACAGATTAGGCCTTCATCGTGCAGTTGTCCTTGTATTATTGGTAGCCAGATATTCTTATGTGGTTCAATCTTCCTGGCTACCCACGAACTGTTACTACATGGATCCCATCGAACTGTGGCATCACATCAAAAATTCATGTGACTAACACACCCACATTTGTCTGCTGACACACCCACTTTGTTTTCACTGTCCTGGGTATTTAAAACAAATTTACCTTCATTTTCACTAGTCTTACCTATCGATGAAACTTACAATTATGGGCGTGAAAGCAGATAAATGTGGGTGTGTTAGCTACATTAATTTTTGATGTGCTGCCACAGTTTGGTTGGATCTGTAGTATATATTCTCAATCTCCAAAAATAATGTTGTGTAATCTGGTATTTGCCAAGGGCTGTATAAGGATGGCCAGCCATTTATATTCTCCCGAGTCAGTTGCTTGACTCCAATCTTTTCCTTGGTCGAAAGCTGTGTTATTCTCCTCATCCTCCTTCTCATGCTTATGGGTCACATAAGGCTGAGATTTGTTCAGGCCATCAATGAATTATGCATTAAATTCACCTTTGGAAAGCACTCTAGTGCAACTACAGTACTGCCTTCTTTAGTTAGCACACACTGATTGGCAGCAGTACTAGAATGTCAAATAGATTTCAAATTTTACAGGACGACGCATTTTAAAATCCAACTTTTCCCTGCCATGGACTTCATGTTATTTATGTATGATCACAGTCATTAATATGTTCTTCCATTTGCTCATGTGGTACAGCTCTGTGACATATTGGACACTTCAGGCATCCACGCCCAGGAGTATCTACAGGACCATCTGAACACACTACTCCATGGTATTGTGGGTTGAAATGAGGCTGCAATAAAATAACATTAAATTGAATATTAAAGCATCATACTTTGAACCCAGTCTTCCAGAATACTAAAACAAGGTCTCAATTACAAGCAATCTTTAATAACAGAAAATACTTACAGCTTTGTAACCTCCTCCACTTGCCTGGCTTGCTTTCCATGGCTCCTGTGGTGGTGGACTGGGTGATTTTCTTACTGTAGATCGATTCTGCGAATACTGTTGAAATGATGGAGGTTTCTGGCGCTGAAATGTAAAGGAGAAATGACACCATTCAGTAGAGCATTGACACAAGTATCACTAAAAAAGATGCATTTTGACTTTTTGACATCAACAATCAGACACCCTCCCCTTCCCCCCAATTCCCTCCTGTAAGCCTAACAAAAACTCAAAACCAAGTTTACAAAAGTATCCCAGCTTCAGTCTTACCGGTGCAGGTTGTGGCGGAGTATATACTTTTCTCCTGTCAAGTTCTGCCTTGAAGTATTCTTTGATTTTGTCCATCTCAGATTTCAGTTGTTTATTTTCCTCTGTTGTTTCTTGCAGTTTTTTCAGGAGTGTCTTAAATTCAGCAGTGAGCTTCTCCTTCTCCTTTTGTTCAGCCCTGAAGTCATTTTCATATCCTTTGCACTGAAAAAAAGTAAGAAAAATGCTTGTAATTTACGCCAGATATTCAAGATGACACATGGTCCGTGTGATGCTCTGCCAAACTGTGAGATCAATATCTTCATGACAAAAATCCAAGACAGTCTAATAGATTCACTGAACAATGCTTGCTGTAAAATTAAATGCAAAACAACAGGATCTTGCCTGATCTTGCCTGATCTTGCCTGATCTTAGATAAAGATCTTTCAAGAATTTAAACCTGGGTGTATTTAATGACTTAGCAGGCAAAACCATAGAATATAAAAGGGCTGGGAGGTCATCATACCTGTTCTTCCATAAGACCCTTGACCATGTTTGCCTCTTCAAATGATGCACCCATCTCTCTCATTTCATCTTTAAGTTTCTCATTCTCTTCAATGAAACCATCTAGCATTGCCTTGGACTGTGCATCAAGTTGGTGCATTTCTTCAGCCAGTATCGCATAGCTTTCTCTCAACTTTTGTACTTCATTTTCCAGATCTCCTTTGTACTTTTCATTTTCTTCCAGTTGCTTCTGCAATTCTTCAATCTTTTTGACATGTTTCTAAAAAAAATTAAGACAAAACACATGTATTAATGTTAGATTCACTTTTAATTTACGTTTTCCCTCTAAAGTGAAAGAGTTGCAATAAAACTGAATCATTTAGGAAGATTAGCACCGTCGGAAACTAACCATAATTTCTGCTTTGTGCTGTCCATTTTGTCCATCTACATTGTCTTCTGGCCCACACCATGCTCTCTCAATGACTTCCTTGATTACTGGATAATCATTGGCCAGTTTCTTGAGTATCGCAAGCTGTGTTATCCTTTCACTTTTCACTGCTTCTATTGAAGATTTTAATCTCTCATTTTCGTTTACGACTGCTTCACAATACACTTGCTTCGCTTTGAGACTTCTTTCAGTATTCGTCAGCTCTGCTGTTAATCTTGCTACTTGTCCTCGTAACTCTGTGGTATTTTCGGATTCAACAGCTCTCAAAGCACTTCTTAGTTCTTCGGCTGCTTTTCTTACTTGTTCTAATTCGTCTTTTTGTGCCATAACCATGTCATGAAGATCATGGTTTTCCTACATTAATGAAAGAGAAACAACAATAGATAAAGTTAATAAATGACATTGTCAATTGTAGATTATAATTGAACCTAAATTCACCAAACAGAAAAAGATGTAGATAGAGAATCACAAAAAAGAATTTAAATTTTTCTTAGTAAGTAAAAAAAAAAAAACAAACTTTAGTTTTCACTAATGTATGCAAAAATAAAGAAAAAAATAAAAATACAACAAACAAAAAAAAGTAAAAAGCACATGCATTTCATATGATGACAGTTACTATAATCATGGTTATTTTGAAAGCGAAACAATCGACATATTGTGATACTTCCAAGGGTTTTTTCCCGTTGAAACCACGCCATAACATGCATGCAATGTGATTTCGGGGATTCCCCGTTCTCTAAATGAAGGCGTTTTCAAAGAAAAGGATGTATTTGCTTCGAAAGCACTTTTTGAATAAATTTATTTAGCATTTTTTATCGTTTTTGTGTGTTGCTCTTGGCATTACTTCATTTTTAGTAAAGCGAATATAAAAAAAATTTCGAAAAATCGTCTTTTTGAGTCTTTAAATTGATTTCCGTGAGCATAAAGTTGGTCGTTATTTCGCAATAAATTTTCGAATTTAAACAGGTTTTGGACAAATAATGCTGACTCCACCGACTTAAAGAAGCCACCACACAAAAAATGATCACCAAGAGTAATTTTGTGAGCAAAATGCAATGATAGTTGACTTGGATATAAAAACGTTTTAAATTCAAGATGGCGGCCATGAATATCGATCAGCAATCGAAAATCAAGCGCCATAACTTATTTAACTTACCACTGCCAGGTCTATTCCTTTAGGAGTTTTATTCAAAACATGCTCTAATGCAAGTTTGAGTTTAGTATTTTCCCTAGTTAGTGAGTCCAATAGCTTTTTTGAGACACCAGGAGTAACAACACCTTTCTGAAAACCTTTACCGTTTTGTTGAGTAAGTTGAGCGATACGATTCTCTGCCCTCGACAACAAAACCTCAAACTCTTGCACCTTAAACTTTAAAATCCTACAATCTTCTTCTTTTCTGTCCAATTGATCTGTAAGAACTTGAACACCGATGAGTTTTGATTCCAATTGCTGTTTCTCTTGCAGAAGAAAATAGACGGTAGAACGTAGTCTGTTGAATTCATGCGCGTTAACTAGAATCTTTGAGTCCGCCATACCAAAAGATACCTCAAAAATATATCAAATGAATTTTTGCCTTGATTTAGTACATTAGGCAGTCTTTGCTTAGACTCGTTACCGATATTTCGTCGCGGATTCTTTTGCGCTTTTATATGCACTGAAAACATGAGTCAGTCAAATAAGCAGTGGTAAATTCCCTTTTCCACGTAATCGATGAATTCATTGGTTCGGGTGCTTCCCGATCTCGGCTGTTGATTGGTCCTGATCGATGCGGTTTCATGACAATAGAAATTGTGGAGTCTGCAATTGTTTTGTATTCTAACAATTCCAAAAAAAATCCCTTTACGTCGCGATGCCATGAGTCTATGCATGCAATCATATTCAATGCAAAAAGATGGTTCAGTGGCGAAAAGCATCATGAAAAAAGAAAAAAAAGGGTAAAAAAAATTTTTTTTTGATTTTTATTCCTCCTATATATTGGGTATACCCCTAAACAGCAGCTTAATTTTCAGCTCTTGGTACGCTTGAGGTTATCAACTAAGCTAGGACTGAGCAAGGGCACTAGGACACCGAATGTGGTTGGATTTCTATAGGTGTTTTTTTCCTTTCGATTATTTGAATTAAATTAACGTTATACTCGTTTACTTATCTTGTGTCCGTATTCCTTCCGCCCGGGGCTCTATATGGAACTTAAGGTGGATTTGATTAACCATATTAACTCTGGACGGYTGAATATTACCGACGTAAGGAGCATCGCGCGGTCGCGTTGTTGTTGGGACAAACAGATTCAAGTACGGAACGGCCGTTAAAGAAGTAACGCTCATAGGCTATTCAAACCGTTTGACTTTTGGAATGAAAACGTCTGCATTACAACAGCGAACGAAGGAACACGGACACAAGATAAGTAAACGAGTATAACGTTAATTTAATTCAAATAATTGAAAGGAAAAAAAACCTACAGAAATCCAACCACATTCGGTGTCCCAGTGCTGAAGAAGTTGTTGGTCTTCAAATTTCATAATAGGCCTTTTTTTAAAAACAGTTCACGTGACCCTACCCCCGTAATACGAGACGTTGTGTTAAAATGAACACCAGAATTGGAAAGAGCACCTCAATATTTTGATTCATTTGCATGTCCAGCACGCCACACAAATCCTTACAAAATATTCGATCCATTCCTCCTATAATGAAACTTTGCCTTCTTACTAATATTGAGGTGCTCTTTTGATTTTTGGTGTTCATTTTGACACGTCTCTTTTTACGGGGGTAGGATCATGTGACCTGTTGTTGCAAAAGGCCTATAGTCATCAAATACTGATCTTATAATATCATCTTGTGCCATTCGGCGTCCTCCAAGTTCCATGGAATTGAAAACGCCTGCAGAAACGTAACAGAATATGGACTTTAAGCACGTTCACGGTGCATCAAAATCAATCCGTTCACGTTCCGTACACGTGGACAAATAAGCGGTGTACTAAACGTGCTTGAACAGGAATTAATCAACCTAGCGCTAAGCCAATCAGGTATCAGGCCTTGACGCTGACATTGACCCTGCAATCCTATTGCATCAGTATAGAGGGGTTTCCCCGTCTCAAACTGATAATTTGTAATAAATTTTATTTATGAATTACACGCGGGAAATCTAAAGAAAGTATATGAAATAATTACGGAAATAACTAAAAACTTTAGGGGTAAAATTTTCAAATAAAATTCTCTTTCCTCTCTTCCCGTCAATTCCAAAACGGCAATAACTGAGATTGTAATGATGAAAAGGTAAATCATACACCGTGAAAAAATAAAAAAACTTACTGACGTTTCGGACGCTAGTCCTTCGTCGGAGTAAAAGAGCTGAGATTGTTCACTATATACCAAGAATCCGAAAGCATTGGCGACCAACCTGCTTAACCACTATTGAATTCCAGCCGGTATAATAATAATTATAATAATATATGCAGAGAGTATACACCTATATCAAAAAACGTTCGGCGGACGTAATCATGAGGAGCTTTGGTCAAAAAAGTGCATGAGGTCTTTTTAGGTGTGAAGTAATGTCCATCATTCCTTCAGTATAAGTGTGTAGGTGTCAATCCTGCTGTCAACATACACTCGTTCTTTGTAATCAGATGTATACGGTCATTCCAAGTCCACAGTCAAGTCATTCCATCATCATTTTTTTGTTTGGGGTTCTATTCATGGACCTGAGATTTCCTACTGCCTTATCAACGCAAAAATATCMCAAATAGCACTTTCGACAACTTCATAACCCTAAACCGGTGACATAGCGAGTTTGTTTCATGGAAATGAATGTCGTCTTTTATGTGTCTCGCGCCTGTATATCTTGATACATTGATATCTTGATCGGCTACAGTAATTGTTTTTTTTTTGTTTGTTTGTTTGCATTAGAAGTTAACGAACAACGTAGTTTCCTTTACTGTAGATTGGAATATGAAGCATGATCAGTTTAAGTGAAAGTAAAATCGGTTTCCAATTATTTTCTATAGTTGGTTTTTTCTTCTTCTTTTGAAAAAAGAAAAAGAAAAAGATTACACTAAATAGCTAGGTCTTTAGCGCAAGAACCTGACGCAGTATAACTGATACGAAATGTAAAAAGAAGAAGAAAAAAGGTCAGTCCCTGGTTAGTTAGTCGAGATTTTGGTTCCCTTGGCTTTGTTTCGTTCCTTTAGTAAATCGGTGGATCAGTAAATATGAGTTTTGAACGATGAGCAAGCAAAATGAGACTACATTGGATAATAGACCTTTCGAGAATTGCCTGAAGTGAGCAAGAAGCAATTTATATGGCTCCAAAAGCAGAGGACGTAAGGACTTGTGTTCAACATACAGATCGTATTTTATCAGGTCCAACCTCGACATGGAGCCATCATTTGGTCATCACCTGAGCGAAATTGGAACGGTTTATTAAAATTTGTTGGGGTTGATTTTACATCGATTATGAAAAATAAAATGAGAGGTATAACGTCCATGGTCAGTGAATTTGTTGTTGTTGATGATGATGTTGAAGCATTTAATTTATGAAAGCTATTCGTGTTACGGAGGGATACCATGCATGGTCACAGTGGCATGGTCCACTGCCGGTGCATGAGACTTAGCTTCGATACAAATTAAATCTCTTGGCATCAAACCTTTTGGTGTTATAGTATCAAAGCAAGCTAGACCACAATGCATCCTTTTGCATGATCGAACTAAGAAAATAACTTGCGAAGTTTTTCCAAGGTTATATTTTACCCTAACAGCAGCTGCACTGTTTACAAACATTATTGGCGTCAGGAATCTTTCCTCATTCAAATTTATCATAAGTTAAAACAAAAGTGGTTATTATATTTTAATAGTCTGAGCGGGTGACGCCACGCGCTGACGTCTAACGTCCAATAAGAATAGAGATTAAGGTTCAAATATTGAGCTCTCATTTGACACTCAGCTAATAAGGAATTTTTTTTTCTCAGCGCGGTACTTATCAATGGTTAAAGATGCTAAGTTTCATATTTGAACATAGAAACCGGCAAATCTTAGTCTTAGTCAGTCTCCAAGATATTTTGCTGTCTTAGTCGATTCGAAGAAAAAAGCCGCGGTAGCCGGCCTTCTCAGTCCTTCACGGCTCACCAAATCTACGTACGGGCAAAGTAGTCTAGAACATTTCATACTTTTGTCGGTGACAGCCCCCTTAAGTTTTGGCCTCATTACCGACAATCTAGTCTTTTAAAAGAATGTTGGTCGGTTGTACGTCTGACTCGAACGTTTGAGGGAGGAGGCGGAGCGCCTCTTAAGATAGATTAATTATTAATTCCATAGATGTTCAAAGATAACGGATGATTTGGGTGTACGATTTGGGTACACCCGTTATAATTTCACTGATGATATCAAGATGGATGATTAGGGTGTATACATATATATATATATATATATATATATGTATACACCCTAATCATCCATCTTGATATCATCAGTGAAATTATAACGGGTGTACCCAAATCGTACACCCAAATCATCCGTTATCTTTGAACATCTATGGAATTAATAATTAATCTATCTTAAGAGGCGCTCCGCCTCCTCCCTCAAACGTTCGAGTCAGACGTACAACCGACCAACATTCTTTTAAAAGACTAGATTGTCGGTAATGAGGCCAAAACTTAAGGGGGCTGTCACCGACAAAAGTATGAAATGTTCTAGACTACTTTGCCCGTACGTAGATTTGGTGAGCCGTGAAGGACTGAGAAGGCCGGCTACCGCGGCTTTTTTCTTCGAATCGACTAAGACAGCAAAATATCTTGGAGACTGACTAAGACTAAGATTTGCCGGTTTCTATGTTCAAATATGAAACTTAGCATCTTTAACCATTGATAAGTACCGCGCTGAGAAAAAAAAATCCCTTATTAGCTGAGTGTCAAATGAGAGCTCAATATTTGAACCTTAATCTCTATTCTTATTGGACGTTAGACGTCAGCGCGTGGCGTCACCCGCTCAGACTATTAAAATATAATAACCACTTTTGTTTTAACTTATGATAAATTTGAATGAGGAAAGATTCCTGACGCCAATAATGTTTGTAAACAGTGCAGCTGCTGTTAGGGTAAAATATAACCTTGGAAAAACTTCGCAAGTTATTTTCTTAGTTCGATCATGCAAAAGGATGCATTGTGGTCTAGCTTGCTTTGATACTATAACACCAAAAGGTTTGATGCCAAGAGATTTAATTTGTATCGAAGCTAAGTCTCATGCACCGGCAGTGGACCATGCCACTGTGACCATGCATGGTATCCCTCCGTAACACGAATAGCTTTCATAAATTAAATGCTTCAACATCATCATCAACAACAACAAATTCACTGACCATGGACGTTATACCTCTCATTTTATTTTTCATAATCGATGTAAAATCAACCCCAACAAATTTTAATAAACCGTTCCAATTTCGCTCAGGTGATGACCAAATGATGGCTCCATGTCGAGGTTGGACCTGATAAAATACGATCTGTATGTTGAACACAAGTCCTTACGTCCTCTGCTTTTGGAGCCATATAAATTGCTTCTTGCTCACTTCAGGCAATTCTCGAAAGGTCTATTATCCAATGTAGTCTCATTTTGCTTGCTCATCGTTCAAAACTCATATTTACTGATCCACCGATTTACTAAAGGAACGAAACAAAGCCAAGGGAACCAAAATCTCGACTAACTAACCAGGGACTGACCTTTTTTCTTCTTCTTTTTACATTTCGTATCAGTTATACTGCGTCAGGTTCTTGCGCTAAAGACCTAGCTATTTAGTGTAATCTTTTTCTTTTTCTTTTTTCAAAAGAAGAAGAAAAAACCAACTATAGAAAATAATTGGAAACCGATTTTACTTTCACTTAAACTGATCATGCTTCATATTCCAATCTACAGTAAAGGAAACTACGTTGTTCGTTAACTTCTAATGCAAACAAACAAACAAAAAAAAAACAATTACTGTAGCCGATCAAGATATCAATGTATCAAGATATACAGGCGCGAGACACATAAAAGACGACATTCATTTCCATGAAACAAACTCGCTATGTCACCGGTTTAGGGTTATGAAGTTGTCGAAAGTGCTATTTGNCCCCCCCCCCCCCTTAACATAAATAAATAGTGAAAGGATTTTATAACAGCTATTTCTATGCAAAACATAGTCCCAAATATAGGGAATTTTAAGGATGAGACGGAAGAAATGTATCGATAATGGTTACAAGAAGTTTAAGAAGTATGACGTGCTCGTTTATTTTCGAATTCCAGTTTGGGGAAAGGAAAATAAGGTTAAGACAAATTGACTACGAAGATATATAAATGTAAACAAAGCTAGGTTGAGATGCCAAAAAAGGTGTTAGGAATACGGATATTTAGCTTTCACTTTAGCTCACAATAGCGATTAGTAATGTAAAGCTATATATACCAAAAATGTATCGATTTTCCATTTTGAACAGAATTCAGGAACCAAAAGATGTAAACAGTGATGCTCATTACTTTTTCCGCGAAGACTAAAAATAGACATTATATCATTGTAGTCGATAGTTAAGTGATGCATTCAGTTAAGGTTCAAAAAACATGTCAAAAATATTATCCTTTTAGAAAATTTCGGGTCAAAAAACTCTATCGAAAGTGATTTGGTAAAAACAAGTTTAAACAGGTTTTTACCTGTTAAGCCTGGTTTGGAGAATACGCACAAGGACAAATGCTGAAATAAAAATAAGAAAAGAATTTAACATGCAATTCCACACTCCTTCCCTCGCCATCAAAAAAGATTAGTTCTTCATTTTTACAAGAATACCTGAAAATCCATATCAAGCTGATAATACCAGTAGTATTTATGCCGCTCAATTTCCTGGTTTCGACGAATAAGAATCAACCATGACGTCATACATACGGAAAAACGAATGGAGCTTCGAATTCCGGTATCAAATTTTGCTTGACATTTTTCTATTTCAAACTCCGTCCTCGCTCTATTGTTAGTACGTATTTCCGTTCAATGCAAATCACGTAGACAGGGCAGAAAAACGGTTTTTGGCCTTTCGCCATAAGGACAGCTTTAAGTAAGCTCAATATTTTCTAAACAAATTCTTTTGGAGCTAAATGGAAAATATCAAATGAGACCAAAATTTATTGAATGCGTATTTGAGATATAAAGCCGTGTACTTTGGGAGAGATGATATTT